TTTACCTCACTGCTGTGAATTTATGCTTACTGTCACATGTGCTGCTGTGATTGCCTTTTACATTGCTATACTCCTCAGTCAGTTATACATGCACAAGCCTGCCATACTTGTAATAGAGGCTACACAGACTTGTCAACCTTGGATGATGCTACTGTGACATTGCTGTGGCCTGTCAGGGCAGACTGTTGGGGTGAACCCCCATATACCCTCTGGCTACCTTAACCCGGGCTTCTGTGCCATATGGGACTTGACAGGGATAAATCCCAAGATTAGTACCTCTCTCCACTCATATATATTACGGGAGAGAGGTACCGCTAATCTTGGGATTTACTTCCCCTTTTCTTTTGAGACTCTCAACACCTCCCCATATTTACAAGGGTATAACCCCTTTGTATATTACCAGCTGCTCCTACCGACCGGCTTTTGCAGGCAAGGCCTATACATTCACATATACGGCCTGCAATATACAAACCCCATACTGTATATTGCAGGGGACCTCTCCAATAGGCCTGACTTACTAGCAGGCAGAGTAACAGTGTCCTCTTCTTTACAGGATAACACGTGGTATGATATGTCGGACTCACCGCAATAGACACAGGACTTCCAGTCCATTATCTGCGCAACGGTAGTGGCCTCCATGGAAAAGGCCATATCTAAAATGCTGACACAACTACCTCCAGATAACAACTCCCCTAGTAGGGGTAACACGCTTCAAGAGCCCAAGGATGCATTGGGCTCAGAGGTTTCCGAAAAAGACCTCCCGCCCCTGCCTAAGCAGCACAAGAAGGGCACCACGGGGCCCCAACCTAAGGGGAAAGGACCGTCCAAGCACTCCAGGCAGCTGGCAACAGCTGTACCACTTCCCCCAATGCCCTCCTCAGACGAGGAGGAGGATTACCAACCAGATTCCCTTGACATCCTGGATGAATGGAGAGTGGAAGATTCAGACTCGGAGCAAGAGGGCGACTGGCAGGATGTGCCACCTTCACTCCACAGAGAATCCTTCAAGGATGATTCCTTCCATTACGACACACATGACTCCTTCCCATCAGAGTGTGATGGACTTGTCCTTGACACCCATGGCAGTCCACTCTTTGACCTAAAGGACCATCAGACAGCCTCGGTCTTCTGAATGTAGTCTACCGACCCATCTTGCCAGATTTGTTCACTTCTGGCTCCAGAAACTGCTGGACCGGGTCGTAAGGACTAGCATGTGGGTGGATTTCCCCAGGCCCTCGCTCTCGGACAAAATTGCATTCACACCAGTGT